AAAAAGCACTTCATAAAAAAACTGCTCCACTGCTTCATTCTAAGAGAATAGGTTATACAGCTCCTGAGCAACACCCTCTAATAATGGCAGGCACTGGCATCAATAATGGTCAAATACATGCATTATAGTTATGTTTCCAAAATTTACTCTGCTAGCCACTATTTCACGGTTTCTCAATAGTTTCTATCAGGTATTAGCCTATCATGCTCAATCAAGTGTGATATGTATGTGCATATCTAAAGGACTGATTGCCTTACTTTTATGAGAGTTCTGGTAAAAATTATAGGATCAAATTAAAATTTTTAAGTTAAAATCTACCTTTATCATTATCAAAGGCGAGGTAGACAATGTCCATATATTGCGAAACCCTCCCTTTCTACTTTCTCTCAACATCTAAATGAGCTACTCTTTTTCTAGTAATGAGCGGAGACCAATGTAAAGCAATAGTTGGTTACCTTTGTAGCCCGAGGATCGCCAGGACTGCGTATTATTCGCTTAGTTATTTCAACGCCTGTTCGATTTACCTCATCTATGTCCGTTTCAGGCATTAGCACTGTCTGGAATGGCCATATAATTCAAGTACATTTTAGTCGAAAATAAGCAAAATTTACCACGTCATGGCCTCCTTCTGTTAGCACATCTGCCAAGCTACCAAGAAAGTTCACATGGCTATGTCCCAGAAATGGACTGTAGACTAGATATTTGTAAGAACTGGTTAGAGATATGAGAGTATTGATCACCATATATGTCAAATGCATATTAATCCTTAATGTCGATAGTAAATGAGAGTACGTAAAAATTCATGGCGATTTCATATAAATTAATAATGTGACAATGTAAAAACGGGTAAAATAAGCTTTACCAAGAATTCCTTACATTATAAGATAGCATATTCTACCATCTGCAAAAACTATCTTGATAATTTTTTCGCTGTATATCAACGCATTGATTCCAAGCCCCATCTAAGATATGCGAAAAGGCAGAATTAATCAGTTTCGACAAACACATAGGACAAGTATCTGTTAGAAAATTGATTTGAAAAGATTCTCGACAACATTTGCCTAAC